CCTGGACCACAGTGCCATCTCTGCACAGCAGCACGGGGGCTGAGACACGTCCGCACGGGAATGTGTATGTTTCCTCCAAAAAAAAAAAAAGTTACTCAATCTTTTAGATGCTGTTGGCATTGGGATGGTGGTATTGAGTTGGGATCTTCCTGCATGAGCTGTGCTGATTAATTTGCCCTTAGATGTCTCGGTCACTTGTGCCACTTTGCCTTGGTGACTACTTCCAGGCTAATGAACCCGGGACTGCCTGGTAGTCCCAACTGGGGTCAGGTCCTGTGAAATCATCTGTAGCTGTGAAGCAGCGAGCCTTTAAGCGTCACCCAAATACCAAATGGGGGCCAAATTTCTGTTTCCCAGCTTATGTTGTCATTTTCCAAAGAAAACCTACCTTGCCAGGCTGCTGTTCCAGCCCCAGGCGAGTATAGGAGCATTAAGAATGATGAAGATGGTTGTAAAGACTAGCAGGGACCTCCCAGGCTGCCTCCCTGCCTTGCAGGCAGCCGCATGCTCCGCAGGCTCCTTGGGATTTGCTGTGCTCCAGCTCAGGACGTGCAGCTCTCAGAAGGCGGTTTGTGTGCTCTGGATGTGTTTTCTGTGCTCTCAGTCCCCAGGTTGAAGATTACTTTTTTTTTTTTTTTTTTTAAATCTACTTATTTTTCCAGGGGAAAGGAAAGATAAATCCAAGAAGCCTTCATTATAAGAAAGCAGATTTTTTTATTTATTTATTTTAGTTTTAATGGAGAGCCATGGCTCAGAGCAGTAAGCTTGCTGCAGTGTCTCAGCAATATATCAAAATTACCCTGGCTCTGTGCGTACTTGGTAGAGCGTCAACAGGCTGATGGTTACAGCGCTGCTCCGGTGACTCAGATAAATAACACGCAGACCAAAACATACATTGAGCCTGGCTCAGGCAGACTGGAAAATGCACTCTTGGAAGGCACTTTTCCGGGCAGGAATGGCTCTGCGTGGCCGGGGCTGCTGTGAGGGATTGTTGGCATGCTGGCCGATAAGGGAAAACCATGACCTTGGGTCCTTCAGACCCAGCTGTGAAAAATGGGAGATAAAAAAACACTTTGGTGGTTTGTTGGTTGTTTTTTTTTTCCCCGTCCGTGTTTGGGCTACCGCAAGGGGTACATCACATAGGTCTCTCGTGCTGTCGCCGTCTCTACACGTACCGCTGCCCTTCGTGCCATACCAGCCAGCACCGACAGGAGATTTGGGTGCCTATCTTCCTGTTCGGTGAGTTTTTTCACCTGAGATATTCCCAGTGGACATGCAGGCAGGAGCAGCCCCCTGGCAGGGACGAGCTTGGGTGGCAGCCATCCGTCCCGGCGCCGCGGGGCAGCCTGCCTCTCCTGCCTGCCACTTGCTGCCTGCTGCTTCTTACAGCAAAGCACAGGGGCATCGCTCTGCACAAGGGCTCCTGTCTCGCTCAGTGACGCTTAAATATTCATGCTGGCCTCTCTGAGCTCCCTTTTTGCTTGGGGCTGTTCAGAAACCTCTGGCTTCAGCAGACAGGGGATGGCTGCAGCTGAGGACTGCGGGAGGGCTCAGGAAGCTTTGGGACGTCTTAAATCTAACAAAAGAGGTGGGAATAGTGTGGTAGGGAAACTTGTGTGATAAATGCAGTGAAACAACTTCAACGGTGAAGGTGGGGGGTTCTGACTCTGCTGAGAGGGGCTGGGAATAGGTCTTTGAACACCTACATGTTTTTTTTTTAAAAAAAAAAAAAAAAAGAAAGAAAAAAGGACCTGTTGGTGGTAGAGTGAACAAGTGGCATTGACCGTGTTGTGGAGGTACAAATGCTTCCCGTGCTTTAATTTTGGTGAGCAGGTCTGTTTACACAGCGTGGGGACCACAGCAGATGGTGTGTGGTGTGCCCAGGGCTGCCAGCAGTGGGGTCCCTTCCTGGGGGTCTCAGCTCTCCATCTGCCCCTTGAAGGATGGTGGAAGCCAGAACTGAGAGTCTGAGCTCGGCTGGCATGCCCAGACCCTGCCTGCCCCATGGCAGCGGCTGGGGATGTGGGAGCCCTTCGGTTTGCTCTGGGCACTGGAGTGAGACGTATGGATGATGGAGGGGCTTTGAGCTCTGCAGGGATGTTGGGATGCCGGTGGCGCATCTGTTTGTGCTGAGGGCTGCTGCCTTTGCTGCTCCCCGTCTGCCTGAAAAACCTGTCCTGCTGACAGGAACCGCAATGAAAGTCCTACTGCTGTGTTATAAACCTGGGAGGGAAACTAGACACAAGCCATCCTTTCATGTCTCCGCTCCCAAACCACAGCACACTGCCCTCCTTGCAGCGTCGGGCCGGCTGCCCTCCTCTGCCTCTCCTCCTCCCACGGCACTCGCAGCTCCCCATGGCCATGCCATGGGGGTCACCCACACCAAACACTCGAGGAAAGCCCCCTTTCAGAAAGAACTGCAAAGCTCTGCTGAGAGCCGGCTCCATGGGAGCAAGGACTCTTTGCAGCCAGATTAGTAAGGAGTGTGGATGTGTGAGTCTTGGGGAGGGAGAGGAAGCTTTTTATTTCTCTTTAAAAAAAAAAAAAAAAAAGGGCATAAAATGAAAAAATTGCAGAAACCTTCCCTCCTCTCTCGTGCTGCTTCTCCAACTAAACTGTTCTCTGCAGTGGCTGGTACAGAGCTGCCGGACCAGCACAGGCTTTGTCTCTTGATGGCAGCTGCCTGACCTGCAGCGGGGCAGCAGCAGGGCTTTCGGTCCAACCCAGCACCAATCCTGCCCGTCTGCACAGAGGACCCAGCTCTAGACGCTGTATGTAAGCTGTGAACCCCACCAGCTCCTCAAACCTCGTGTGTCCTTGACCTCCAGGGCTCTGCCTGTGCAAACATACGTCCTGGCAGCAAGAGAAGCAGGCAGGGAGGGTGAGCTCCCCCGTCCAAACCTTTCGTGCCTTTTTACTTGCTTTGCAGCTCTGTTCCCCTTCCCTCCTGCCCCGCGACTCTCTCCTACCAGACTTGAGCTGTCTGTCGTCAATAAGTCTCGTTGATCACAGGAGAGCCGTCGTGTTGGCTTTGGCACGGTTTATGTTTCCGCGCTTGGTTCGGAGCCTTTCTTGCTTCTCTGCAGATAACAAAGGCCGCTTCAGTGTGGCCTGGTGCTGCGCCCTGAGGCTGCAGGGAGCCTGAGGACCTCACTGCTCTTCCTTCCCACCCCCCCTTTTTTTTTTTTTTTTCCCCTTTTTTCTTTGCCCAGGAGCAGCTGTGTTCAAGCTGTGCTGCTCTTGGGGACCCAAGTGTTGGTACACAAGGGATGAGTACCTTCGGTATTGACAGGGGGGCTTTTCAGAGAGTAACGTGACAGTTGTCGTGTACCTGTCTGTGCTTCAGGTTCCTCCCGAAAATGAGAATAATCTGCTTCGTCCCTAGCAGGCTATGTTTAATGAGTAAGGTGGGATCCCCGCTCCCGGGTGATTGGAGCGGCTGCTGGGACGTGGATCTGACAGCAGCTGTGACCTGGGTGGAGACATAAAAAAAACAGCCTCTGGCAAGGATGCTGCTTGTTCTCACAGCCTTGTAGGGGCTCATGGAGACTCTGAGAGGTTGTCTAATTTGTCTTCATGTTCCTAAAGTAGGATTAGGCATACTTGGTCTATGCCAGTGACCATCACTAACTGTTCCCTGAAACTTTGCTTGTCCCCCTGCAAAAGATATTAATTCCCATCATCACTAATGGTCTCCCTGACCTCGCTCCCCCCTCCAAATCCAATTTCTACTGCTGCAAAAACTGAAAACTCCACTGTATCCACAAGAACAGAAGACTGATTTTTCTGCAACCTTCTTCTATACCTAGAGAGAATAGAATAGAATAGAATAGAATAGAATAGAATAGAATAGAATAGAATAATTTCAGTTGGAAGGGACCTACAATGATCAGCTAGTCAAACTGCCTGTTGTATGGGGCTCCCAGGTCTCACCCTCCTCAAGACCAAACCAACCCACTCCTGCCAGTCATTCCAAGAAGTTGGGTTTTCCGGCCCCTGTTTACACGGGATGCTCTCTAATTCATCCCTGTGCCTCAGTGCTGTGCTGGAGCTGAATACAGCTCAGCTCCAGATAAAGCCCTTACCAGGGAAGAGTAAAACATACAGCTGGGATGTCATTATGTGGTGTTTGGACATTTTTCAGCAGGGTTGTGCTGGCCTTAGTCTGCATTTCCATAGGATTCCACTACTGAATTATTGTCTCTTTTGTCTTGTCTGTGTGTCATTCCCTGCATCTGCTCCTGGGACCCTTTCAGAAATTGAGGTCTGGGACTCCGTAAAGTTTGTCTTCCTTCAAGCCATGGTACTGGGAATCTGAATGCCTGCTTTAGAAAAAGGCAGCCTTCATGTCGCAAACCAACAGGCTTTTGTGAAATGCCCTCTAAAAATAAAGAAATTACACCAGAGATAAAGGGACACAGATTGGCGTGCATACGTTCTGCCAAAAAATTCAGTATTTTGGGGTAGGGGGCAATCTGCTTCTGTGGTGTTTGTATGTTGACTACAGTGATAACCCAGTTGTGGTCTTCTGATGCATTTTGTGGCAAATTTAAAATAAATGTGATGGATGGACAGGGTGTTTTGTGGCAGATTTAAAATAAATGTGATGGATGAACAGGCTTTGGAGTGACGATGCCTTTCCAAGCCCTGTTCAGAACTTCTCCAGGAGCTGCTGGTCAGGTCAGCCCTTGCTCTAAGTCCAGATCAAGTATGTTCAGACTATTCCTGATGGGCCAAAACCATGAAAAATATGTGCTACCATTGCAAGGAGGTGTAGTGCTGCTTCCAGCACTTTCAAGAAGAGGAGTTGGGAATAGCACCGTGCCATAAAAAAGCAGCCTGTAAGCAGCAGGTTCTTGTGCTGGAAGCCTAAGCTGTCACCCATCGTCTTGGCCAGTGGCAAGCACCCATTTGGGAGCTGGGTGGCTGGAGTGTGTTGGGGTGGCACGGGAGTCCCCGGCAGCTCCCTCACCCCTATGTTTTTCTTCCCAGAGTCAGTAATGATGAATGGCTCCGACCTCGCCAGCACAACAACGTCCAGTCCCAAATCCAAAGAGGACCAAGTAGTGAACGGCCATGATGAAAAGGAAAACAACCCCTTTGCAGAGTACATGTGGATGGAGAATGAAGAAGACTTCAACAGACAGGTAAGACCAGGAGGGTGGTTGCCAGCTCCACATTTCTGCAGCTAAAATTGAGGAGAGGGAAAGATGTCCTTTGATGGGCATGTGAGTCACAGCCAGCACAAGCGCTGCACGGAGATGGTGGCTTTCGGCTCAAGGGAAGAGTCATCCTGTTTATATTGGATCTGGCTGTAAGGACACGGGATGGATAAAGTCAGAAAAAAAAAAAACAAACCTCATGATGCCTTTGATCCTCTCAGATCTTTCTCAGAGGCACAGTGATGGCACCATCATCTTCTCCTGTGCTTTGCTGTGGTAACAGAGACCTTCACTTTCTGCATGCTCAGATGGAAGGAGAGGACCAGCATAAAAATCAGTCCTTGGAATTTGAGAGCATTTGTAGCCTAGCTATCTCAGCAATGAGTTTCTGTAGTTAGTACCTCTCGTTTCGGGTAGAAGTCTCTATTTCAGTGAAATGGTCCCAAATACGCTTGGAGCAGCCAGACCACTTGGTAGGAGCCTTGACCACTAGATGCTATGTGGCCAACTAAGTGCTCGAGAGCTTCTGGTAGATCATGGTGGGATCTGAACAGCTCCTGCTTGTGGAATAACGATGCAACCCTGCGTGCTGGAGCAGAGGGAGCAGCTACGTAGCATCCTCCTCGTGCTTCTGCTTTGGGCCTTCATCTAAATGCCAGGGCAGGACAAGGCAGCAGGAAAGAGCTCACTGGTCCCTCCTGCCATTATTCCAGTAGCTGGAGAGAAGTCAGATGCCTTGAACTGGGTGAGGAAGGAGCTTGCCCCTTCAGCTGGCTGAGCTGTTGCTACAGGCAGAAACCCTGAACTCTCCTAGACCCTTGCCCCCTTCCTAAAAACGTCCTCACGAGCATGGCCAAGCACTGGATTCCCATCACCGGCGTGTCGGGAGACTAGCAGGGAGGGACCGTCAGAGCTGCGGGCAGGCTGGGCAGAGGCATTTCATGTCCCCACCGCACCCCTGCTCACCCAAGGAGGAATTCATCAGCTTTACTGGCGTTCTCAGCAGAAAATTTCCATATGGTAATGCTTAAGTCTTGTTCCCACAGGAGGAAACTGCAGCCGCCTGCTGACAGTAACTCCTGGTGAGTGTGCAGCAGCTGCGGTGTGCCGCCCCACATCACGTTAGCAATTGTTAGCGAGCTGTGACTCAAAGCTTTTGTTTTATTTAATGACGCGATTAGGCAGCAGCCGAGCCCCCACAAGCAGCTGTGCTGATTGAAATGTGTGAGATTAATTAGTTAATGTTTGTAAAGCGCTGTCTTGATTAAAAGCCTGATGAAGGCAAAGTGCAAAGCAAACCATACAGCGACTCCATGCTGGAGGGAGTGTCCTGGGGTGGAGGAGCCAGGCAGAGGAAAGCATGCGCAGGCAGAGGGAGATGGAGAAGGGAGGAAAACAGGGCCAAGACCTCAGGGCTTCCCTGTGTTGGGCACTGTGTCACTGAGATACTCGCCCATGCTCTCCTGGTCTGCTAGCCCTCGCTTCTGCATTTCAACTCCTTAGCGATGCCCTGGGAGCTCAGCCCTTTGTCCAGCTCCTGGTGAAACACTGCTCGGGGGAAAACAGTTCATACAGAAGCTGAAGTCAATCTTTAAGGGCTTTGAAGTCTATGTGTCTGCTGGTGGGGCACCAGCCAGGGTAGGGAGAGCTGTCCTGCACCAGGACCTTTGTCTGTCAGAAGTCAGTGCTCCTGGAAGAAGCTGTCCTTGGGCTGGCATGGGTGCTCATGAGGCTCGGCTTGAAATGCTGTGCCTCATCTGGCTCTGTTCTGTTCCCTGGCCAGAGTCTCTCCTGAGTGCTCCCGGGAGAGGATGAGATGCCAGTGATGGGGGCACAGGGTGGGGAGCAGCAGGCACGTCCCTTTCAGTGGCAATGGTGGCTTCTGCTGCCTTCACATGCAAGCCCCAGTGGCTTGGGGCTACTGTAAGATCTGGTGCTGAATCTGCCCCCAGACCCACTTTCTCTTCCATCTTCCACAGCCTTCTGAAGACACGGTGCTTCCTTGCCCCCTTTCCCCCTTACCCCCCTTCTCGTTCAAGGGTTTCTGCTGTCCAGAAGGGCAAGGGGAACAGGCAGGTGTTTTCAGAAACCTGCAAGCTTCTTGGCACGGTCCTTCCTTATTTACGCTAGTGATGTTCCTTTTCCCATGGAGCCAGAGGGCAAAAAGGGAGTGGTGGGCTCTTGTGCTGAGAAGAAACTGTGCTGACAGAAGGTGAGGTTGGTGCAGAAGGGCCTGGGGCAGAAGGTGACAGAGCTGCATTAAATACCACAGGAAGCCAGTGAAGAGCCCTGAGCAAATATTAAACCCTTTCTCTCCTTGTTCAGGTTGTCACAATGCAATGCAAAGGAGTTGATGGTTTCTGGCTAGAGGGGGGTAGCAGGTAGGTACAGGTGCAGGTGTCCAGGATCTCCCCCTCCCTGTCCACTGGTCCAGGACCGATGTCATCACCGCATCCCTGGCTCACAGCCAGCACTGCCATTGGCCCCAGTGTCCGGTTGCATGGACCAAAAGGCTCTGGTGTGTGGATGGAAATTAAGTGCTGCTCGGCTGTGGTTAGAGTACAGTCAGCAGTGCCGAGACTCAGAGAAGAGGGAATATTCACCTGGGTTTGAAGTGTTGCGAGATGCACAAAGCTGGGCTCGCTCCATCCGGTGTCCTGCAGAAGTGCAGGAGCCCAGGGTAGTTGTCACCTGCTGGGGTGAGCCAGCAGTCCTGGGATGTTGGGTTTTTTTAATACCCGGTTTTCGCATGCTACTGCCGGCCTGTGGTTTCAAGGACAGCCTCTGAAAATGCAGTTGAGGATAGTGATGTGATGGTTTGCAAGCAGTAAAGGGGATTTTCCTCTGGCCAGGTGCAATGTCTAGGGCTGGTGGAGAGCAGCTCTCCAGTCTTTGAGGCTGGAGACAGCGTCCAAGGCTTGGTTACTGATGTGAGAGGTTTCCACAACCCTCACAAGGAGTTTTAATTTGATTTACATGTGATTTAAAATGTAGCGGGGACTGGCTGTGAATAACCTGAAAGTTAATAGCACTGTAGGTTTACCAGGGTTACCTTCCCAAGTCATTTGTGATGGACAGGTCTCTGTAAACGCTGCGGTGGGGCAATGGGACCGCAGTAGCTCACCAGTGGCAAGGGCTGCCTGCCCATCCCCAGCTGAGGGGCTGCGGTACGTGGTGCGGTGGGTTACAGAGCTCCCCTTTTCCCTCCAAGAAGCCAGTTCTGGTTGTAGTTTCTGCTTGCTTGTGGAATGGAAGGGTTTAAGCTTTTTGGAGCATTTTGTGAATCATAGATTCACTCAGCCCTCTTGGACTCAATAACAGCTGCTCAAAATCGTGCTGTTTTGCTGGCTGTCACCACATCTGCTCATTTTCTGGTGACCACGTGCCTGTTTAGCAGGAGGCCGCTGGCAGCGCGGGCTATCCATCTCCCTGCCTCGCTTGCTTTGCTCGAGTCAGCATCCAGAGAAAACCGGCCTGGAAGATGGGAGCAGCTGGTTAATGTGACCCGCTAATGGTACGTGCCTGCTTGAGGGTAAGGATGGGACCTCCAGGCCCCCCCTCCTGCCCATCTCTCCTGCCTCGCTTTGCCTGCGCTCCCCTGTGTGAGCAGCTTTCTGCTCGGGGAGCCCGAGCCAGGTCCTGTGGCTTTCCTCGGGAGGAGTTTTCCTGCAGCGGAGATGGCGTCATCCATGGTGCACTCGACGGGAGCCGACTGCCACCCTGCGTCGGTGCTTGCAGAGCACCGGGCTGCCGAGGGGGCTGAGCAGAGCCACGGCGTTTAGCAGGAGAAGCATGGGAAGCAAGAAAGCAAAATACGGGCTGGCAGAGCTACAGCTTCGCTCCGTAGCAGAGGATCCGCACAACGACACACACCTCTAGCACTGTTTCCCAGCTGCGATTTTATTAGCCATCCCGTTCATTTTGCAGCAAGCTGTGCTGGAGCCTGGCAGCTTGAAATCCCATGCGTGCACTGGTGCATCTGGATGGCCCATAAATCCTATCCTGTTCCCTTCTGGATTCGCCAAGTGCTGCGAGCTTGCAGGCTGCATCTCCCCACCCCAGCAGTCTGCAGCGGCCCGAGAATGGCTTTGCTCCACTCAGAAGGTGCCGGTTTTTGTGCTCTTGAACTTCCTGGGGTTGGCTACAGGCAAGTCAACAAAGCTGTGTTCATCTAGGTTTAAAAAACTAGCTCTGGCTCTACTGTAGTGTTTCTGAGCATGGACAGATACCGAGGTGAGGTAGGCATGTCGCAGACTCTGCTTTTACCAGGTGGGGACATCGTATGGAAAACTCCATGATGCGTCGTTTGTTCCTGCGACTGATGGGTGTGTTTGGGCAGGTGGAGGAGGAGCTGCAGGAGCAGGAGTTTCTCGACCGCTGCTTCCAGGAGATGCTGGAGGAAGAAGACCAGGACTGGTTCATTCCATCGCGTGACCTGCCCCAGGGCATGGGGCAGCTGCAGCAGCAGCTGAATGGGCTCTCCGTTGGTGACGGCCACAGTACAGAGGACATTCTGGTAAGGACCTCGGAGAATATGATGCGAGGTCTGGCAAAGAGCAGAGGTCCTGTCCTGGGAAGGGAGGTGGATTTCCTTGGGGGGGGGTTCCTGAGTGGCAGTGGGATATCTGTGCAAGAGCTGGTGCTAACGCACCAGTGACGATGAATTTTGGAGTTTTCTGCAAGGATACTAATTTTAGCCATGTATCCTAAAGACAAAAGTATCCGGCTTTACAGAACTTGCTCACCAGAAGCCATGGAAGCGGGGCTGCCACTTGTATGTGAGCTGGGCTGTGGTCCCAGAGCAAGCCAGGACCTTTCTTGCCTTTTGAGCAGAGCTGGGGTGTCCTGGCAGGCTGGAGAGGTATGGGAGGACCAGCCAGGTGTGCCCCAAGCCTATATAGATATTTAGAGTGGTGAAAGCCTGCTGGGTGGCTGGAAGAGCAACGGTGTTATGGAGATGCCCGTTTTCATCCCTGAAAGCAGGAATATGCAGTAGGGCTGTATAGACCAGCACGGTGGGGGTTGTTCTGGCCCGGCCGTGCTGACTGTGCTCGGGCAGAGCTGCTTTACCCCCCTGCTTTACTGTGGGCGGGGATAAAACAGCCGCTCGCACCTCACAGCACATCCACCAGCAGCCCTGTGTCCAAGCAAGAACAGGGAGAGACAGAGACAGCAGATTCTCCCGTGTTTTTCCCAAAAAAACCCCACTCAGCATGGGAGTACATACTTTCGACCTGGCACTTGTTCAGCAGCGTCTCAAGTGCTGCGGGTGCCTGCAAGGACATGAGGGCCAGGACAGCTGCTTTGCATGTGTAAATGTTGTCAAAATGCCCCAAAATTGGGTTTAGATGACATTGTCATGGTCAATACGGGCTTGCAATGGTTCCATCAACCTCTACTTGGCCATAAATGATCTCAAATTGCCCCGAAATTTGGTTTCGATGACATTGTCATGGTCAACATGGGGTTGCGATGGTTCCATCAACCTCTACTTGGCCATAAATCCATCTTAAAAGCCTTTTAAGGCTGTCCATGACGGTATCCTCGGCAAGCGGCCGCTGGGATGGGGCACCTTTTGGGGGTGCAGGTCCGTGGAGTGAGCGATGCTCAGCAGGGGCTGCTGGCATTTGGACTGCTGATGGGGGGCCCCCATCCCTCTTCTCTTCCAGAGCAAAAGCAACTTGAATCCGGATGCCAAGGAGTTTGTGCCTGGCGTGAAGTACTGACCGTCAAGGCAGGCTTTGGAAGCTTTGGAAGGACTGTGACCCTGCTCGGGGGGAAGGTGGCGGGGGGGAAGGAGGGAGGGGATCAGCCCCCGGCTGGACTCTGCGCCGTAGTGGAGTTGCTGCAACGTGGCGAAATCTTGCTCTACGCTTCAAGTACCTTTTTGGGTTTTTTTTTTTTTTTTTCCCTTTTTTTAAAACTCTTTCTTTGTATCGTCTATCACCTTATTTCGGCAGTTTTTGCTTTCTAGGACTTATCGCCCTTAGGTCTGTCCTGGAGACCAGCACTCCCCCTGCTTCAGAGGCCATTTCGATGCGTGCTTCAAACCTGCTAGTGGAAAAGTCATGTTTTCTTGTTTAAGTAGAGTTTGTAGGGATCCCCCTGCTCACCTGCTCCCACCCTGGATGCAGCGAGCCTGGGCCAGGAGCCGTGCTGGCTTTCCCTGTTTCTGTTAACCAGGATTTCTTTTGCTAAAGGAAAGGTGAAGTGTAACAAGACTGTATACCCTAAATTCCTCCAAGCAGCAGCCTGCCCCGCTCTCCGATAGGTGCTGAACACTAACTTTCATGCTTCTTTGCTGGGAGGTAAGAGTCCTGCCTGCTTAATCGGTTGCAGGAGCTCTTAGGGGAGACCAGACCCGTCAGACATCACCCCAGCCATCCATCGCAAGGGAAGGGCTGCTCCTACAAAATACCTTAAGAGAATTTCCCCCCCCCCCCCGCCCCCCGACTCTTGAGCTTATCCAGCACTACAGGCTGTGGCTCTGAAACATCTGTACCTTCATTTCTCATTGAAATAAAGCCAAGAAACACTGAATAGAGCCCGTTCTCAGCAGAGTGGAGTGGTAGGGAGTTGGTGTCAAGCAGCCTCCCTAGGAAAGGAGAGGGATCCTCCGTCAGCATGAGTCTGAGCCCCGAGGAGCACCCACGGGTTTAGATAGAGAAGGTGATGGGCAGCATCTTCATGCTGCTCCCTTCAGACCCCTTTGCCGAGGCTCTGGTGGCAGATGGCATTCAAGGCAAAGCCGTCGGAGCTGCTGGTGGTGAGCAGGATCCGTGCCTCCGTTGGGTCAACTTGCTTTTGGGGACCTCCTTCCTCATCAGCAGGAGCTGGCTGGGCTTCAGCTCCCTGAACCGTGGCCCTGGGCGCATCTGGTATTTTAAATCCTGTGCTTAGTGGGCTCCTTTGGAGAGTCAGGGTCAGAAATCTGTATCCAGAGGAAGCAGCAGCTTCTCGGTGAGGGACGTAGCCTAACGATTTAAATAGTTATTGGCTCTAGTAGCGTGGACGGGAGCTTTTGCTCATCCGTGTAAATCTCACCTCCCGGGTGCAGTTACTTCCAGTATTCCCTTTACTTAAACAGAGTAGTTAATGGAGGGGGATTACAGATCCCCGTGGGGTTTGCAGAGAGGGAAGCTAATGGCCACTCAATAGCTGACAGCTTGGTCTGTCTCCATTAGCTCGGCACAACAAAGCTGGCGGACGCAGCTCCTGCCGCCGGCGCCTGTCGGCGAGCTCAGCGGGAGGGCCCGGGGTTATTGGACCACAAACACTAACGGCGGGTGGAGGGTTTGAGCTGATTTAACTCAGCAGCTCTCTGTACAGTCTGCTCCGTAACTCAACACATCTCCCATCTCTGGCTGCCGGTCTTAAAAACCAGCACGAAACCCTGACGCTACTGCAGCTGGAGCCAGCAGCCTGTTGAAGGTGCCCAGCTTAAATATCGCTGCCCAGAGGTATGGGTTGGTTTGGGTTGAGTTCTGTTTCCTGGTACAAGCTGTGCCTTCAGCGCCCGTGCGGTTGCCTCCAGCTGCTGGAGGCCGCCTCTGCTCCGGGCTGGAGCTCAGGCTATGCCCAGGGCTTTGCAGGATGTGATCTGAGGCGCAGGGAAGGGCAGCTGTACACTGGGCAAACTTCTTTTGTAGCGGTAGTGCTGTCCCCCACCCCCAACCCACCCCCTTTCTCTGGTTTCTATTTGATTTATTACCAAAAAAACCCAACAAACCCACCCCTACTCTCTGATGTGCTGTAAATTTCAGACAATGCGTTATTAAAAATAAACTTTTTTTGGAACTGAGCAGTGCAGAAGTCTTGCCTAGAGAAGGGCTATGGTCTCCGTTCAACACCAGCTCCTCTGATGCCTCAGTCCCAGCAGGAAATCCTGGAGGATTTTCCTCCTTCACCCCCACGGTGGTACTCTTCCCTCCCCTCAGCTCTGCTGCGGGGCCATAGGAGCGCTGGCTTCCAGCATCCTCTGCCGGAGGCCGGGGTTCCCTTGGAGCTGGCCAGGGAGAGCCTGAAATGGCTGGAGGAGGAAACAGCTCCAGTTTATGCCTGGTCAGGAACTCAGCACAGAGAAAATAAAATTGAAAAAGAAATGGGAAAGCCAAGGGGAGAGGATTCCCAGCATCGAGCCCGCTGCCTCTGCTGCTGCTTCTTCCCCCAGCTGGACACAGGGTATCCTGCTGCTGGATGAGGATGTTGGTGTGTGGAAGAGCCTTGCTGGGACACTGTGCTGGTGGAACTGGGTACGGAGCAGCCTGCCCATAGCAGGGTGAGCCTGCGGGATCAACCCCACTTGGTATGTGAGCTCAATGCCTGTCCCAGTGCCTGCCCTTCCCATCCAGTCTTCCTGGAAGGAAGAGGCAGCTTTTGGGTTCGTGCTTTAGATCAGGCATAGCCCCTTGCTGTGTATTTCAAACAAAAGCGGCAAAAAGGGCTTTTGTTTTGTTTTCTTTTGTTTTGTTTTTTTTTTTCCCTTTTAAATGAAGACCAGCCCCAACAAAGCTGCTTGAACTCACGTGGGCAGGACCAGCCACAACCTTCCCCTTTGCTGGGGGGCCACTGCTCGCCGTCAGCGCCCAGCAGCACCATGAGAGCCTGTAAAGACAGCGGGTGGCCCCATTGGTGAGGCCCCAGCTTGGGGGGGGCGGGGGGGGAGGGGAAAAAGAATGTGCTCATGTTGTCCTGACCAAAATAATCCTTCCCCTGCTCACCGGGGGACAGCATCGCTCCCTTCTCCCCATCGCTGAGGCTGAGCTCAGGGTCCTCACCGGGTCCCCCAGCCGCTGGCAGGAGGCACCAGCAGCCTGCTGACTTCACTCATCATGAGTACGCAAG